AAAAGAAAACAACCACCCAACTCTGAAAAAAAAAAAAAAATCAAAAGAAACAAACGCAAGAAATGAAATTAAAAATGTGAACAACAAATAAAGATAAAAAATCACAGACCTGAGAAAAATGGCCACGAAACGTCGCGCACACGACGTGCATCACTCGTAACTGAGAATGTACATGGAAAATGTAATGTACATGAGAAGTCGTGAACAGCGCGAAGTACCTGTCACTGAAATCACACATGGAAAATGTAACATAATACAATGTATCCTAGTATAATCCTACTGCTAAAAATACTCGTACCAGATATCGAAAAAAATACAAGAAACAGTAGTCTATAAGTCGTGTCGTAGCTGCCAAGATACTGTACTATACTCAGTCTACTGCAACCAACGCTAATCTACGAGCACCCTACTGGTACCAAAATCATACACACCAAAAACGAAGGAAACAATAACTACAGCACGCACACTACCACAGACTCACTGAGTGTCTAACTATAGGAAGACAAGACGACACGACTAGAAAAAACAAGACCTCACAACATGATGAAGTACGGTGCGAGTAGGGGAAAAAGGGAGTGCTGGCCTCACGGTCCGTCGGTCAACGACCCTTCTTCCCCTTCCCGCTCCCTCTCCTCGCACCCCCTCGAGTGCCAGATGCCGACCTCCTCCTCCCTCGTGCGGACGAAGAAGTCTGCGCAGCGGACAATCTAGATGCACGCGTCGGCGGGGGAGGTGGGGGGCCTGGGGGGCCATCGTCGCCGTAGTCGTTGTGATCGCCGGAACCGCTCTCGCTCTCCTCCTCACCCTCCTCCTCGCCCTCCTAGTGCTTGTCCTCCTCCCGCACTGCCGCATCCGTCTTAGGATCATCCTCCTCGATGGTGACAAGCCTCCTCCCTTCCTCAACAAAACAACCCTCGCACTAGCCTCAGCAACCGTCTGCAAACGGCGGGATCCAGGAAGCATCCCCAACCCCTCCGCCCCCGAACTCTCTCCAAGCGCAGCGCCTCCCTCTGCAGCCACAGGGCGTGGACGAGGAGGCACTCCACGCTTGCGCGGAGTCTGCTCCTGCACAGCACGCGCCGCTGCTCTCAGAGCGTGCTCCAAGGTGTCGGCGGACACTCCTCTACCACGACCTCGCTGAGGCTCGCAACCTGATGCTGGCACCTCCCTCGCTACGGTCGTCCTGGCACTCTCTCCAAGCGCAGCGCCTCCCTCTGCAGCCACAGGGCGTGGACGAGGAGGCACTCCACGCTTGCGCGGAGTCTGCTCCTGCACAGCACGCGTCGCTGCTCTCAGAGCGTGCTCCAAGGTGTCGGCGGACACTCCTCTACCACGACCTCGGTGAGGCTCGCAACCTGATGCTGGCACCTCCCTCGCTACGGTCGTCCTGGCACCAGCTCCTCCCAAGCCCGACTGAAGGCGTGAAGTGTGCTCCGTGACACGGCGGGTAGAATCCAAATCTATGTCTGTCCTCCCGAATATGGATGTGTCACACATGTCCCGCAGAGCTGCTGTCATGTCACGAATCCTCGATCTTCCGGGCGTCTGTGGGGATCGAGAGCCTCTGCCTGTGGGCAACGATGATGGATCACCTACAGGTGGTCTAGGAGGAGGGGTTGGCATGTTTCTTTCATGCGGCGCTGTCTCCTGCACGCTACCCGAAACCCCTGGGACATCTCTCGCAGTACGTCCTCCGGTGGAGGTAGACCCAGACCACACGGGCGATGCAGGACCCCATCGAACCGAAGGGATCGCCTGCCATGCTGGATGCTCGAGCCTCTGGTTGAAGATCCGTCGGTGCAATCGAGTAACATCACGCACCGCATCTCTCGCCAACTCATCTGCATCCAAAGGAAGACGGAACTCCTGCGGAGCAAGGTGACTAGGAGGACGTGGAGGCACCAGCACCGGCTCGGACCCCATATCCGTGATAACGGGCGGTGGCACACCATGCACTGCCACCTGAACCGGCTGCGACTGTCGGCCCTGAGCCAAGTGCAGGCCCGAGAAAGGAACAACTGGACCCGTCGCTGTCTCCTGAACCAGGGGTCGTGCGTCTATAGCCCCCTCATCTCGCCGCTGTCCTGCCTGCACAGCCTCATCTGCCGCTTGTGGCCGGCGATCCACAGGAACATCCACTGCCTTTGGCCCACCCTGTATAGCCTCATCGTCCGCCTCTGCTGCTACTTCCTCCATAACGTCCTCCGCGGCCATCACCCCACCCTGCACACCATCCCCCCCAGACCCTCTCTCGCTCCATGATGTCGCGTGCTGTATCTGGAGACTCTGCCTGCATCCTCTCCATCGGGGTTTGTGTCCTTGTCGCGTCTGTTGCATCATCCCGTGACGGCGCCCGATCCGTCGATGTCGCCCCGCCGCAAGTAGGTGGAGGGCCCATCAACAAGTCAAAGTCGAAGTGCGTCCCCATCTCTGACCCCGCCTCCCCTGTGGGACCAAAAATCCCCAGCTCACTCGCCGCCCCCGGGGTCAAACCCCCCACTACTGGATCGACCTCCTCCGTGATGAAGCACTGCACGAGCTGCTCATCGGTGTCCACACCGTCATGATCCATAGCATCGGCCTCCTGCGGCCTCGCTGCCGCTACCTCCTCCTCAACCGTCGCCTGTGCTGGCACCTCCTCCCTCGCCGTCGAGACTGCTGGTGCCTCCTGCGCTGCTGCTGCCACATCCCCCTCCTCCTGTAATACCCCCGGGGAAGGTGATCGTAACCTCAGCTGTCGAACCACCGCCGATCTCTGCAGAACCCCCTGCGGAGGCAAGGAGGATGCCAACTCCTCCGTCTCCGCCTGTGTAGTGGCCGGCTGAAGAGGCGGGACGGGGATGGGCGGTGCAGGACTCGGCGCAGGAGGTGGCTGAACGTCCGGCTCTCGCCCGATCGGAGCAGGAGTCGGTATCCCCGCCTCTGCACGACTCGTGGCGGCATGAGAGGCCCCACCTCTGTCAGCACGCGCATCACCCGTGGAAGCCACGTCCCCAAAAGGGCCCCATAAATCCTCGTCCCCCCCTGCATCTCCTCCTCTGCCCGATCCGGTGCCCGCGGAGCCGTGTATGTCCTCACCTCGGCATCATTGGCCTTCTCATGCGTCTCCTCGATCTCGCTCGGGATGGGTAGGGCAGCGTCATCTACTCCCTCGGGTGTGGGCTCCTCATCCGAGTCATCGTCCCTGGGGTACTAACGGAAAATGCAAGCACGTCTCTCAAAAACGGCATCAGCGGATGGTGGTGCAGAAGACCCGATGGGATCGCGCGTAATAAGTGCAACCTGCTCTGCAATCTCCGCCGTCGTCATCCCCTGGCGCGTGCCCGTGCGCACCGGCTCAACCTCCAGTCCTGCCTGACAGTCCAACATCCCCTCGTCACGCTGCCATGGCAGCACGTAACCGCATCTTGCCCACCGATACTCTGTCAACCGCACATTTGCGGTGATCTCAACGAGCTGCATGACCTTCTCAAAGGCCAACCTGTTACGCTTCTTCGTGTGGATGCCCTCGTGGACTGCCCAGTTCCTCTCCGCTCGAGAGGCGCAAGACCACATGTGCATCACACGAAGAGTGCACGGTTGCAACTCAAGGGCGAGAGCCCCGTACTGGGACCACCAAGACGCGCACTCGATCGTCTCGGTGTCACCGCTACACGGGCGCCCACGAGCACGCCCCTCCGCCCCGCCCCAATCACCAAACCTGCCCTGCTGCATGTGGAAGTCTTAGAACTGCCGGCAGGCCTGGAGGTACTCCGCACCCTCCAAATCGAAACCCATCTGCGTCAGAATGTCAAGCATGGTACTCCTGCACCTCGCCGAAAAAATATCGAACATGTCGCCTGCGGGGGTTCAGTAAGAACCCAGCGCAGTGGGCCGGCTCTAGCATGTGCTGTGAGCGTGCCTGCACACGCCTGGTGATCCGGTCTGCGATCAAGGACCCCAAAGGAGCGCATGCCTTCTTCACCCGCTGCACAAGATCATGTGCCCACTCGAGCACGAGTGACATGAACTGCCCTCCATGATCCATCTGTCGGAGCAACTGCATCACGGGCTCCATGATATGGACGATGTTGGCCACCCTCTGCCACCAAGGATCCCATCTGATCTGTCGGCGCACCCAACACGCCATGTAACAAACATCGGCAGACCATGGGATGAAGGCAAAAACCTGCGCGTCATCCCCTGGCATCATGTCCTGCAAAGTGTCCTGCAGGGCCATGAGCCTCTCCAACATGGAGTACACAGACGCAACCGCGTCTCGCATGAAAGAACAAGACCGAGGTTAAGGCTGCGCTTTCTAAAAAAATGAAGGGTTGTCTGGTGGGGTTTGAAAAACACCACCAGCACACGAGCGCGTGTGATAGTATCAACAAACGCGTCGCAACACGTCCTCATGTCTGACAACAATTTGTTGCAGACATGGACCGACCATGGGAGCCAAGTGATCTTCCTAAATGTTGCAGGGATGGTCTATAAGGTCAGAGCCCTGGCAGCCCCAACTTACGCTGACGCGGAGTCAGTGCATATCMCATTGACCCGTTGCGGCCCGCCGAACCTGAACTTGTGGAAAATGGTTACCCATCTCCGAAGGACGTGCACAGCATCGTCCGTCTCCCCCTCTCGATTGATCGTCGTGCACATGACGACCCCTCGAGACCCTGCGGTGAGCAAATTAACGATCGGTCTCCCTTCTCGTGATTTCCTTCCGTCTGAGAGGGTGGTGGCGCCAGTCACCCAAAATGGTTGCCTCACCTCCTCCAACTCCTCGGCCAACTCCGCACGGTGCATCTTCACTGCCTGCATGCTCGCAATCTCGCTGTGGCTAGGGAGCACAGCGCGCGGCGAACTGCCAGGCTGTTAAAGAAGCACCTGCTGATATGCCCTCCATGCCTCATTGCGAAAGGCATTAAATGAAACCCCGCTGGAATAAAGCCAGCGAAGAAAGGCCTTCTTGTGGCGAGCAACCCACTCGCCACCGTACACCTCATCCACCTTCTGCTATCTAAGCCTCTTTCCAGCTTGAGTGGTAGCCGGAACAGTTCCCCGTTCCTTCCTCTTGGAAGAACCCTCCCGCGTCGGTTCCTGCACAAGAGGCTGTTGCCCCTTGCCCCCTCGCCGCTGCCAGTCCACGATCCTCTCCCCCGTCAATGGATCGAACTCGGGCTGATCCTCGTGTCCCAAGAATCCCTCCCGGGTCGTGCCACGTGCCTTGCAATCGTCGATGATCACGTCCCCCTCGATGCCACCGCCTCTACTCCCCAATGGCTGGTCGGGCTCACCATGCCCAGTCTCTCCCCCCCCCTCCAACCTCCTGCGGTCGCTGCACCGCCTCTCCTCCCGTCGCTGCACTGGCCCGGGGCACATCAAGTCAATGCTTCGCTGCAAACCTGGAAATCCTCTCCATCTGATCGGCCTCGGACTTCAATTGAGTCTGTTTTTCGATCTCGTACAAGGCCTCATCAGTGACGGCCTTGCAGTAATTGGTCTGCATGAAGTGCCGGGTTGCCTGGAATAAAGCCCCCTGGAATACTTTGTTGCAAAATGTGCAATGCAACATCATCACCCCATTGTTGTCGACCTTCTGGCCGACGACAAGGTACCGATACACAGGGGACCTTACCCTGATCGTGTCCTGCACATCTTGAGAAGCGGGCTCATGCTCGCGCCGCTGTGCCCTCCCCATCGCGAGTGTCGTGTTCGCCGCTGTGAACCTTTGACCCGAAGACCTGTCGACCTTTCGAAATGAACCCTAGAAACCACCCAACACAACCTTCCCCTTCCCCGGCCCGTGCACCTGTCGTGCCCGCCCCAAACCCCCCCTGCTTCCACCGCAAGCCCCCCTGAACTCCCGCGCGACCCTGCCGCCCGACGCAAATAGGCCACTGAACGGCCGCGTTAAATCGCGTTAAATCCCGTTAAATCGCGTTAAATCGCTCCGTGCGCCGAGGTGCGCAACAGTCGTCATCGTCCCCGCCGCTACAACGGTCACTCCCGCCACGCTGCGATCTTCGTCTCCGCTCCTGCAGCTGCTCCCGCTGCTCCTCTCTCTCTCTCTCTCTCTCTCTCTCTCTCTCTCTCTCTCTCTCTCTCTC